CAGCAGGAAACTGGAGAAGTAGGGCAAGATTTTTGCCAAGAGCAACTAGAGAAGTAGATCAAAGTCTCTGCCTCAACTGATAAGAGAGTTTCAGGAGCAGACAACAGAAGCCTGTCAGCTTGTGTACAGCTAGCTGCCTGGGATTTAATACATGAAGACTATCATTGTGGAAAGCTACGGACTGATTCTATGGCCAAAATCCTGAGCTATGATTCATGTTCAGCAATTTCCAGCTGTCCTGCTACAAACTGGCATATGTCTTCATTTCTCTCCAATTCAGCTTCTCTTCAAGAGTCAGAAGTGCTACATTTAACACTACAAGATAAGCTTGTGTTTCTCCAAGACACAGCTTGTTGAAGTAATTTCATTTTATAAGCACAATGGATGAAAATATAAGAGTCCTCGTTACACATTTGGAAAGATTTTGAACAAAAACTGCAAGAGAAGGAGTCTGGCTGAAGCAATAACAGAACTTCTCTATGTGCATTCAAAGACACTGCAGGAATCCTACGGGAAGGCAAGCAGACAGTCCTGTGCAGAAGCCCTGGTATTTCACTAGGGAGGCATGTCTATCCTTCAACACATTCAATAGATTGCCTTTGAATTTTAAAGAACAAAAAATGAAACCTGCATCTGAAATGAAGCATGTACATTTAGCCCTTTTTAATATCAAGTTTAGAAATAATTCCACAATTTAAACAAGCGCCACAGGGAAACATCTTAGTAATGTTACATGTTTGCCAAGTATGTCTGAATAATGCCAACATAAGAGGTGCTTTTGCAAGGTCTACATTCTCCAGAGAAAAAAAAACAAAAACAAAAAACAAAAAAAAAAAACAAAAAACAAAAAAAAAAAAAAAAAAAAAAAAAAAAATAAAGCACATGAATTTGGGGTTGAGGTTGGAATAGGAGACAGTTCAGACCTGGTTTAATCCTGAGAAAGATGGGTCCTGAGAAGTACTAACAGTCATGCTTCTTTTCCTCTTCCCCACTGGAGATTCTAAACACTGAACAAACAATAGAGGGTGGCAGTGCATCAAACAGTATTGCTTACATTGCAACAATGGCCGGCGCAGACAGGCAACACCGAGGCGTTCGAGAAAGAACAGGGTAGCCAAATGCCATCCTTCTTCCACCAAGCACTGTAGTTTTCAAAAAACTATGTATGTTTGTATTTTTAGGTTTTAATTTTTTTTTTTTTCAAGGAGAAAATTTGAAAGATGTGACAAGGTAAATTTCAACTGTGAGCCACTCCAAAATGGCACTGCCTTGAACAGGGATAGCAATGGTGACATTTGGCTCTATTAAAAAAGGAAATTGAGTTTTGCTTACAAAAGCATCCTTTGGTTCCACAAACTGCCCTTCCCCCAAAAGACATTTAGAAAAAGTAAATCTTCAGTAAGGAAGAGGTAGAAGGCATTTAGTCACCTTAAAGTTTACTTTCATAAGCATGCAGGGCTTATTTCTAGCAGAGCTGAAAATTCATCTTTTAAGGTGGGAGCAAAATTTCTCCCCATCACCAAATTAAAATTTGAAAAAAATCAATTTAATTTTTTGAAAAGTATAACTGACAGGAAGCTACTGGAACAAGATTACCATGCTATTCTAGTCTTGGCGGCTGATTTTCTTTAAACTGTGTATAGTAATCTCTAAAAAACCCCAAACTACACTTCGTTACAAAAAGAAACAAAGTAAATACTGTATGATGGCAAGTGTTCCCTAGGTAAAGCACTTGGTTCCAAACTGAAGCAACCCTTTCCTCGTTTTGCTCATGTAAACCTATCAGTCTGCACTGCCGTCAAGAACTACCTCCCTAACCCCTAAAACCCTGCCACAGCAGCGAAGCCCATGCCCGCAGACAGTGTTTACCACCATATCATTGCATGGCTCCCTAACTAGTCTACTAATGGGAAAAAAATATAATGGTTTACAGGCAATTTTGCTTTTCATTTCAGCTGATGCAAATCTAATGTGTTCCTCCACTAAAGTAAGCACAGCAGCAATTTCTAGGCCATTAATCCACATCAAGATGAAAGGGAGTGCAGCAATGCCAACCTAGCATGACTGTGCAAAAGTACAGGAAAATGGCCCCAAAAGAACAACTGGAAATCAGAAACTAAAACTAGGAAAAAAAATTAAAGTTTTCAAGTTATACTCTAAGTCATGCCAGAAAATTAAGGAGCCTAACTGCTCGACACAGCAGAGAAAAATAGAGCTCTACAGAGTTGAAGTATGAAACTTGGGAACAAGCAAAGTTTAACAGCAACAGGATTACATAAAGACTGCCTTTCAGCTGGACTTACAAGCTTTTCCAACAATGGTTGTATCTAAACATTCAGTGCACTGCACCTCTTCAGACAAGCTGTTACTGATGTTAACCAAGCTCTCCCCTTCTAATGTTCATGGCCCTGAAGTTGGCATTCATACAGGCAAACAAAGGTAAACATTTTAAATACTAGTAGTGCCTAGAGAGATGAGACATTCTCGGATGGCATATAGAGAAGATAAGTGGGAATCTTGCTTCCAATAAACAGCTTGATCACGTACATTTGTCCTGAAGTTAATTTCTATTAAGTAGCATGCTTAATGCATTGCCAATGCTGCCTGTCTGCCCGAGCTCGACATACAAATTGCAGGATTAAGCATATTTCACTCAAGAGAACTAAAAATAAAAAAAGGTTTTCTTCTATCTAAGGTTTTCAACAGGAAACATGCACTTCTGACTACATTTACCCATCCAAACAAGTGCAACCACCTCAGCCCGCCCCCCCGCCCTGCTTTTTTTCCACAAAGTAAATTGAGAGCAGTTTTTTGTTGTACAACATATTCAAGTACTCTACAACTTAACTGTTTTCCATCAACATATTTGCATAAATTTCATTTATAAATAAAGGCAATCGATCTACATGTTGGCTATTAGTCATATCCACACTTCTGATGGCTGAAGAGTTCTCTTCACCAGTCTGTCACTGCAAGATTTAACGCCCTGAGGACTGGCAGGTCAGGAGCTCCCACGCTGGCACGAATTCTTTTCATCCCAGGAAGTCAGCCCCAAGCCAAAGATAAGATTTGACTTGATCATTGAGGAAAAAAATGCTATTACAACAGTCATCTCGATAACAAAACTCCATCATTGAGAAAAGCACCCAAGTACCCTCTAGGGTTAGTTTATAATCTTGCTGCAAGCCTAGAAATCATCTTGCAATCAAGTGCATCTCACAGGGTGGGTCAGAGACCCACATGTGTATGCCACTGCATTTAGAAGCCGACGCTGAGAAATCCAAGTTCTCGCATCAAAGAACCACAGTTTAGCATCCAAAACATCAGCTTTAGCAATGAGTTTTAAAAACGTTGTGCAGCTTGAATCAAGTAACATAGCCATTCCCTTTGGATCTTTTAAACAAAGAGCATTAGACTAACCTTATTACAGTGACGCCCAATACCCATTAGGAAGTTATCTGGTTTAATGTCTCTGTGTATAAAATTCTTTGTGTGCACATATTCAATTCTACTGATCATCTGTAAAAAAACACAACAACAAAACAGGTAAGATCTCAATGAGAGCAATACAATTCACTTAAACCTTCAATGAAAGCATATTTTAGCGTTACCTTCCTCTGCAAGTTTATATATTTGCTTAATGAAAACCAAGTCTTTTTATGCTGTTCAAATAAATTTATCTTTCTTACCTGTTAAGATTCCATAATCTTGGTCAGGAAATGGCAGATTAAATACCTGAAACTTTCCCAGACATTCAAGTCCATATTCTAACTACAGTGTCCCATTAAAGAGTAATTTCTTTTTCTTACTTCACACAAAGGTTTTCTATACCTACCACAAGACAATTTTAAAGCTCATTCCCTCCCCCTGTCCCAGTTATTCATTCATCAAGCATCACTACTCCAGGTAACAATTTTCACGGAGCAAGTAACAACTTGACTGTGGCCCATACTGTCATATCTAGGCTACCGTGATCCAGGAATAACAGTCAGCAATGCAGACGCAGAGAAACTCTGGCACATCTGTGTTGTCATACACAGTCATGCAATTTCCTGTGCGTGAGATCACAGCACATGCATTTATGTGGTACAGCTTTCCAGCTACTGAAACACTCTTCGTGCAATAGCTGAATTGTTGCAACACCACAACCTCGACAGCTGTTCTACTGGACTATGCCCTAAAAGCCAGTTCTGTGCGCCGATATCATACATCCCGTCTATTTTTCCAAGATGACAACTAATTAGTGTTGATGATCCAAAGGAATACTGCACGAAAGCCATACAGGTTCCCTGGAGATGCTGTAACACCCAGACTCTAGCTGACTGAGCAGGCAAATGGCTCTCTAAAGCAAGTGTACCGCTCCAGGCAGCTGAGAATAGGGACAGCTGACCTTGTCTCCATACAAATGCCGTGAGCTTCCTTGGCCAAGAGCCTGGGATTCTACAAGCATCTGGCGAAGTGACAACTTGGTACTGACATCAGTTACGTACTATTAGATGAAATTTAAACTACCATTGAAAATTCAATTTGAGAAACCCTTACTGCCTTTCAAGTAGCTGAATACAGCACAATCAAGCTATGTATTGAACAGCAAGAAATAAATATGGTTGGCCATTTCAAATGCTGTACTCTCATGACCAAGCTGAAAAAATATCAACTGCTAGAAAAAGACTTAAGAGACCTCAGTTTTAGAGGCCTTGATTAAGTTTGAGGCACACTGGCATCTCCATTAACAGCTTTAAGAACTGTCTTTAAGCACCACAACCACCAAAACAGTATTTATTAGCTCACGGTCTGGTACTAGAAGTGACAGGAGGTTGTGAGCACATAGTGACACGCGGTAAGAACAGACCCATAGACTTGCACGTTGCCCACCTGTCACCGCAGCTGGCCAGCATGTAACAGGCTTCCATTGAGTCGGATCAGCCTAACTGGAGATTGCTTCAGACCTTCTAACACCACACCCATGGCCGATATTGGGAGTTAAGTCTCCATACTTTATTACAGTTGCACTTGTTGGATCTGAGCATCAAGGATCTGGTGTCTGCACCGCCCTCCCACTACAGGCCTACGTTCATTTTGTATGCCACAGCACACAGGAGCCACCATTACTCCATTCCTATATAGGTCAAGTGTTGGCTTAGCTATACACAACACTGCATAACACATTAAACCCACTTTAAAAGAACCACACTGCACAAAATATTTTAGGGTTTTTAACTTCCTGACAGTAAGATTTGTACATACCTGGTCTGCTAACATAAGTACTGTTTTCATCGTAAACCTGCGAGAACAGAAGTTGAAAAGGTCTTCAAGGCTGGGACCAAGAAGATCCATAACTAGAACATTGTAGTCCTTTTCTTGACCATACCACCTGCAACAAAGAAAATTATTCAGCATTAGCGGGAATCCCAATACGGCCCAGGACACCATTAGCCCTCTTGGCTGCAAGGGCACATTGCTGACTAATTTTCAATCTTGAAAGCTAACTGAAAACTAAGGCTGGTAGTGTCTTATTTTTTCCTGGAAACAAAGTCTGAGGACAAAACAGAACACACAAGTTGGCAAGCATGTTGTACATACATTTAATTTTCCCATAAGAGGAAACACTTTAGCAGCAACTGAAATAGCAAACACCAAAATCAAAACGCAATCAAAGCAGAAGCCATTACATGTCAATATACTGCAGGGTGCGTACAAAGTCTGAACCGAAACTCATCGGCAGGACACCTTACGCTCCCATCATTGCTTCCTGCGTTATTTGACTTCACAGAAACATCTTTAGATGCTTCAGGCTTTGTTTTCGGGTATGATTTCTCTGCAACAGACCAAAGCAGCTCATGCAGTTAACTCATATACTACCTCTTCATTCATTCATGCAAATTTAACAAATGGCAATCAAGTTCTACTGTCCTATTAAGTAGAAGATAAAGGCTCTTTACCAGGTTTTCAACATCATAAAGGGAAAAAGTGTCATAAAGTGTCATAAAAGCAAAAATACAAATGTAGCAAAATATGAATTGCAGCCAAACAGACTGTGATATCAACCCTTAAGTGTCTGATACATCAATTCAGAGCAAAAAATTAAATGTTACCAATGCTGTAAGGACAAGCAGAAGGCCTCCCATGCATATTTTTCCTTCCAATCCATGTCTAGCATTTCCATCACAGGATTGCTTCATGTTATCTGCAACTGGGGGATAGCATTTCACCACCTAAGCTGCTGAGAAGACCTGGAGTCACACCCTTCACTTCTGCAAATCTCAGCTGTGAATTTCCATACTTTAAATGGGCACTGAAAGACAGAACCTGAATATTCTTCTCTACAGTCCTTCTGCACATTCCAGAAACCTACAGTTAAGCAAGAGGTGTGTGAGAAAAACTGTTTATGAAGCTGTGCTGACTACTAGTACATCACTGTAAAGATCCAACACCATATCGATCAGAAGGCTGCATTTTGCCTTTGCTAGGCACTGAGTCCTTACGACAAGGAACTAGCAGCAGCAGTCAGTGGGTAAAGCACTGACCAGCTCTCTCCTGGAGGAGTCCTGAAGTTTCCAACAACAGTGGTACAGACAAGATACACCAAGAATATACCCCATAATAAGAGCATGCAGATAAAACAAACAAAAAAAAAAAAAAATCAAGATTCAGCTCAAACACAGAAGTAGCTGGGGCTTAAAGATCTGTGTAGACATTTTATTTCCACTTTAGGCAGTGACTCCAGGAGACTAATGCATAGTTGTCTGGAAAATAGTTACCACTGATAAAGCTGACAAATTCCTTGGTACTCACAGGATTCCAAGCTTAGCCAGGGTAGTAAAGTAAAATGTTTACAAAACCTCAGGGAAAAGATTCTATATTTGGATTTGTTTCAGGAACTACTGGCCTGTACCTTCCCGCTGCTGGGATTCTAGTAGAAACCATGCACTTTGTAATGCATGGTTATAAATTTGATAAAAGTTACATACGAGCTGTGGATCATACTAATTGTTTTACAGGTCAGTCTAGGACCTTTATTCATTCCCTACATCAAGATGGGATACAGAAAACACTTATTTTGAAAGCAGTCATTCAAATGAAATGTCAACAAAAGTTTTCCTCCAACATGTTAATGATCATACCAATACTGTAAGCACTATTTATCAGTTTTTGCCTTCTAAAAATTCAGTGAATGTACTATGATGTACAAAAAAAAACCACTTACAAGCGACTCAACTAGGAAAGCACGCTGATGGTATTATTTGATAAAGTCTGTAATTTATGAAAAGGTTAATATTCACACTGCAACCTGACACCGAGCCATGAAACACACACATTTTGAAAAGACCGGCCTAGCTAGGCCCTTGTAAGGAGTGATCAGAAGCTAGTTTCAACTGCAAGAGCAACAAAGAAGAGTATTTAAAAAATGCAATGCAGAGACAGAGTCAAAAGGAGATGCTGTTGAGAAAAGTTCTTAATCAACTACAAACCAGCTTCAGTTCAAGAATTACTGACTATGCCTGTAAATCTACTTCTTGGTTCCTATCAAAGTCACCTATGCAAACAGCTGAGTAGTTTTGACAAGGCCCTATAAACAGCTCCATAGGCCACCATTGAAAACGAAACATTATGGTCACCTAAAGTAATGAAAATGACCTGCCTAGTTATTCTGTCATATGAAATTTAGGTTTGTTGTGAAAAAGTCTGAAGAAGAATGAGCTGAAATGAAGCATTCTAAGGAGTAAATCAAGATCTAGATAAAATACGATTTTCTTCAAGAAATGGAAGTCCAATTCAGATGCTGAGTGTAATTGTTCAGTACAGTAATGGTTCAGTGCCCAGGAGACTGCAGTATAAGGGAAAAGGATCAAAGATCAGTCTTCAACTGAGCTAAGAAAATTTAGTTACAGCATCACAGAAAGAGTGAAGCTGATGAAAAGGAAGCTTACCCTGGGAGCTACATTTCAAAAAGCCTCTGGTTCTCTATAGGGATCTCTCTGCTTAGTAAGTGCGGTAATTCGGGTTGATTGCACAACCTCCATTTGGCCTACTTCTACATATGCACAAGAAAATTTTAATCTCCTGACCATTTTGTACTGGTGGAAGGCAGAATCAACTCTGCAAAACAAATAAAACAGGACCTCTCAACGTTTCATCTTCATGTTTACCTGCCTGTAATGCCTCGGAGAAGACTGCCGCATCTATTCATTTCACTACTGGCAACCGAAACTTCTGCTACGGTACTGGAGTAACTTGTGCTGTATTTACTTTGCTAATACTGCAAGTAAGTTTTCATTTCCCTTGGAACATTTCCAGGGAAAACAGGATTAAGAAGTAAGGCTACATCATGTCCATTCAAAGTCCAGTACCTGCTACTACTGGCAGCTCTGAGTAAAAATGTTAGAAGTCTTGGCTCTTCTCAAGAAACCTTGGACATTATGATACATATGCGCTTGGCAAGTACTCCTTACTCCCATGTGCGCATAATCAATGTAAGATGGTATACAAGCACACATTTTGGATGAGCACAAATTCAGAGCACTTTGGCATGCAAGTTTCAACACTACTGGGCTAAAACGCAAAACAACAGGGCAACAAACTGAGCACAATTCTAAAAAACCAGCTATCTCAAACAGAAATCTTCAGAAGCTCTAATACTGCATCAGCAATGAAACTTTGAGTGAACTACTAATATGAATGAATGATCCATACATACGCTTTGGATTTGTGCCGAGAACAGCGTTGACAATACAGGGATGGTTTTGTTATTGCTGAGCAGTGCTTACAAAGAGTCAAGGCCTTTTCTGCTTCTCACACCCACCAGCGAGCAGGCTGGGGGTGCACACGGAGTTGAGGGGACACGGCCGGGACAGCTGACCGAAGGGATATTCCATACCATATGACGTCACGCTCGGCATGTAAAGCTGAGGGAAGAAGGGAGGGGGGGGATGTTCGGAGTGATGGCGTTTGTCTTCCCAAGTCACCGTTACGCGTGATGGAGCCCTGCTTTCCTGGGGATGGCTGAGCACCTGCCTGCCGATGGGAAGGAGGGAATGGATTCCTTGGTTTGCTTTGCTTGTGGGTGGGGCTTTTGCTTTACCTATTAAACTGTCTTTATCTCAATCCACGAGTTTTCTCACTTTCACCCTTGTGATTCTCTCCCCCATCCCATGGGGGGGAATGAACGAGCCGTTCTGTGGTGTTTAGCTGCCTGCTGCATTAAACCATGACAATTATTTTTAAAAAAGTAAATAACTAGGCTAGGATAACACAAAGTATGGATTATTATCAGCTTTCCTGAAGAACAGCAGTAGATTATCTTATTGAAGACTACACAAGACATTAACATGACAATATTATTATGAAGAGCTAAGATTTACCCTTGAACTGGCAGCACAACGCTGTAACATCCGACACGGCTGTTCAGAACCCTAGTCCATATTCAAGCTGTAAGGCGCGCCCAGGCTCACGCATGCACCGTCACTCTCCCTTGCCTCATCTGTTTAAAGCTACAGATCAGTTAGAATACAGTAAATATCCTTTACCAAGCTTTCCGTCAAAGCAAGGTTAAAGATCTAACACTGACCTTAATTTGACTTCAGCGACCTGTCTAATTTGAAAGGCAAAGACTCACCACGTCAACAAAGTTTCCAAATCATGTGGTTTAGCAGCCTGATATATTGCCCCAGTATAAGCATACAGCTGAAATTTTGTAACATCTTGAATTTCAATATTTGCAGCTCTGTGCTGAACAGCTGCCTCATGACACATGCTTTGCAAGTACCGGGTTTCCACATCCCATACAGTAAAGCAGGTATGATGCCAGATCACACCACAAGCGAATGTTTCCCTGAACTCACGTGGGGTGGTTTTTTTAATTCCCTTGACTAGCCTCGAGAGAAGTGAACGAAGTACCGATGCACATCGAGCGCTTAGTAGCAACTACTGTAGTCAGGTCTACGCAAACTTAAAAATCCTTTTCTGTTTTCAGAGCTGCATCTTTCAAAAACTGTATGATGTCTATTTCCACAACTGCATATTTCATAAATAATGTCAATGACAAAAAAAACGTTTGAGAAAATGTTAATAGCTTGTTTTGTTTGTTGTTTTAACTGGGAAAACATTTCATTTGGTTATTGTAATATTCTCTTCACACCTAGTGTGTTTTCCTTTGGAAGGGTCAAATTGAGGTAGGTCAACTAGCAAAGAGAGGTGGGCGAAGGGCTAACAGAATTCTGACATGGGCCATGAAATTATAGGCCCGGTTTCAGACTACGGTACCACTTACACAGTTTTAGTAGATAACCAGCAGTTTCACACATTACATTGGCACTTGTAATTACAGCAAAAAGGTAACAAAAGCAGCACAATTATGCAAGCTGTGTGAGGTGG